CCTCCATCCCCGCCCCGGCTTGATTAGCAACCCAATGCAGGTGGAGAACATGGGAGAATGTGGGCTTCAGCTTCTGCATCTACAATCTGGAAGCATCCCCCTCCCTCCCGGGGCACGGCCCAGGGGCCCTGCCCCAGCCCCAGGCCTGCCCCAGGGTCCACGCCTCTCCTGCCGTAGCAGGAGTCCTAGTCCTGCCCCCCCCCCATGCTCTTTCATAGCCCTGCATCGGCTCCAGTCTCCCAGTCGCCCTCCCCGCCGCCCCGAACCCTCAGCGCTGGCCCACTTCTCCCCGACACCCAACAGCAGCACTTCAGAATTTGTCTTTGATTTGTAGTCTCATGACCCATTTACTTTTTCAAAAATTTACTGGAATTTTTATGATGCAATTTTTGACTCATTCTTTTATGTGTTCAAGAACAGATCGTCCAATGTCTATGTACGTTTTAAAAACAGTAAGTGCAATGTAGCAACAACCATTGAGCTCCAGGCAAGCCACTCCCATGCCTCCTGAGTAACCAGGATCTGCATTTCCATTCATGATTTCCTTGCTTTTCTGTGTAGTTTTACCACACACAATTGTATTGCTTATTTTTACATAGTTTGGAACATTACATAATTGGAATCATACTGTGCTCTGCTGAGACTCGCTGCGTTGGTACCATCTGAGAGTGATTCTATTGAGTGTGCACTTCGATCTACATATGCTATCCATCCTCCTGCCTCAAGGACATTTTAGGGGTTTCCATTTTTTGGCTGTGATGAACATGCTATTCTGACCATGCTTGCGCACACACGCACCAGCTTCTCTGGAACATCAAAAGACTCACAAACATACAGGAGTGGAATTGCTGGGGTGGTGGCTATTTACGCTCTAGATCTTACCGGTAATGACAATGTTTCTCAAACTTGTTAAATTGGCCTTGTGGGGCATTTTTATATTTCTGACAGGTTAAATGGTGTGGCATTGTGGCTTCCATGTTTTTTCTTTGCTATGCCTCTCCATGCCTCTCCATTTGTTTATGGGGCTTTTGCTTCCTGGAGTTCTTTACATTTTCTAGACTAACGGCCTTTGTCAGCTATTGGTATTGCCCCCCATTCCATGGCGTGCCCTTCCACTTGGGTGAAGAGTTCTTTATATTAATGTAGTTAAATGTATCACACTTTCCCTCTGTGGTTACAGCTTTTTGTGCCTCAAGAAATCTTCCCTGACCCAAAGTTATGAATTATCTTCTAGAAGCTTAATTTTCTGTCCTAGCCAGAGCGACTCAGTGGGTTGTGCATTACCCTGTGAACCGAAAGGTCACTGGTTTGATTCCCAGTTGGTGCATGCGTGAGTTGCAAGTTCAGTCCCTTGGGGAGCACAGGGAAAGCAACCAATTGATGTTTCGCTTTCACATCGATGTTTCTTGCTCTTTCTCCCTCCCTTGCCCTCTCTAAAAAACAAAAATAACATAAAATATTAGCTGCTTAGTTTTCTTTTTCACATTCAGTTCTATATAGCAGTGTCTAAGAGAAATATAATGGATATATGCTGCCAAAATGAGCACTAGAGAAATAGACCATGAGCCAGATTGTGCCTACCTTCAAATGGAGACTGCGGCAAAGAAATCAAGAGAAGACTGAGACTCGGGAGGGCAGCAGTGGAAGAATTAGGAAAGACCATCAGGAGCAAAAATGTGTGGCTCTGTGGGCCGAGTGCTGGCCCACAAACTGAAAGGTAGCCGGTTTGATTCCCGGTTGGGGCACACACCTTGGTTGTGGGCCAGGTACCCAGCTGTGGGTGTGCGAGAGGCAACCAAGGGATGTATCTCTCACACATCGATGTTTCTCTCCTTCTCTTTTCCGCTCCCTTCCCCGTTTTCTAAAAATAGCGAAGATGTGTCATTAGAGACCAAGGCTAAGCTCATCCATACCCTCGTGTTCCTAATTACTATGTATGCATGTCAAAGTTGGACACTGAAGGAGGCTGGTAGGAAAAGAGTCCATTCATCTGAGATGGGGTGTTGGAGGAGAGCTCTACGGGTGTCCCGGGCCCCCAGAAAGACAGACAAGTGGGTCCCAGAGCAAATTAAGCCTGAAACATCACTGGAGGCAAAAATGACAAAACTGAAGCTGCCCTAATTTAGGCACATCCTGAGAAGGCAGGGTTCTTGGGAAAGACAAAAATACTGAGAAAAACAGAAGGCAGCAGGGAAAGAGGGAGACCAGGTGTGAAATGGACTGACTCCATAAAAGCCTCCACAGATTGAGTCCACAGGGGCTGAGCAGGGCTGCCGAGGACAGGACCCTGCGGGCGTCACTCATCCACGGGTTGCCAGGAGTCAGCGCCGACTCAACGGCACATCACACACACACACACACACACACACACACACACACACACACACACACAGACTCAACGGCACATCACACACACACACACACAGACTCAACGGCACATCACACACACACACACACACACAGACTCAACGGCACATCACACACACACACACACACACAGAGTAAACTTTCCTTGTGGCTGCATTTTTTAAAAAGTAAAAAAAAAGATGAAATCAATTTTAATAATTGATTTAACCCAACAGATGCTAAATGTTATCTCAACATATAACCAACATAAAAATTACTAGTGAGATATTTTACATTGTTTTTTTCATAATAAGTCTTCAAAATCTTGTGTATATTTCATGCTGATAGTGCATTTCTATTTGGTGCTATTTTAATCAGATACTTAATCGATATTTAGATTTTATAAAATCTATAGTAGAAAAGTTAGGCACATAAACCCATGGGCTCTAATACATGTGACAGTTTTCCTGTAACTGCAGACCCACTGGCCGCGGGAACTCATGGCTCTGGGGTCCTGTCCTGGCTGTTTCCTTCTGCACACTCGTGGGCTGTCACTATGTCTGCCTTTGTCACTGCTGCTGTTCTCAATAAACAGTGCAGAGAGAAGCACCTAATGTATATTTCCTGAATGAATAAATCAAAATCGATAGAATTCAGAATTTTCTCCTCTCTCTGTAGAGTTAGATGACCTCAGCTCTAAATAGAATGAAGCTTTTGGGAAAGGGTGGTGTCTCCCATTCTTCTCACAGGTTGAGGGGCAGAGGAGTCATTCCTGATCCCTCTGCCCCTCTGCTTGGGTCAAATGATAAACCAAGGCCAGCCAGCCTCTCGCCTGCTCTCACGCCAAACTTGCGCCTGCGTTTGTGCCCCAACCTGCTCTCTCCACTCAGTCCTGACTTCCCCGGGACTGCATTTTAGTAATGCCCAAGGCAGCGGGGCTCGTTTGAGTTCCTGGGTCATGTTTTATGACGTTTGCCTTGGGCTTTCAAGCTGATCAGGATCCTTCCAGAGCCATATAAAGCCTCAGCGGGACCAAGAAAGACTGGAACCAGGCCCTGCTCTGACTGGAAACCTGCATGGGGAATTGGAGCAGGTGCCCTTCCCAGCAGCCCAAGGGCTCCTTGGACCAGTCTGGCCTCATTGCGCCCCCAACCTCTAGGCCCGAAGCCCCTCCTTTGCTGCTGAGCTCTTGCCTCTGCTCACTTCCCTCTGTCCTCCTCCAGCTCCCCCGCCCCCGTCCATTCTGCAAGACTCAGGGTATTCTGGTTCCTCCACGAAGCATCCCAACAGTCTGTTCTCTGCCGTGGCATTGCTGCCTCGCCCTCCTTTACCTCCTGGACTCTGAGCAGGAGGCGAGCAGAGCCCCAGAGCTGCACCCATGCCTGGCCATGTGGGCCAGGTTCACTGAACTTGCAAAGGACATTTACAATGTGTAATAAACTTAAAGCAGAAATGTAAAAACGTTCACTTCTCAAGGAATAAAATGTTCTTAGAAGGCAGGAAAAAGGGGACAATAAAAGTGGTTCTCTAGGTGAGTGACCACTGCCATGTTCCCACAGACAAGCCACCCTCTGAGCACAGGCCCGGAAAGTGAGAGGCCACGGGGCTGCTGCCACTGCCCAACCTGTGTTCAGATTATTGGACAGTTGGTGCAAATTCCCATGAAATAACAAAGTTATTTGCTTAGTTATCTCCTAGGGAGATGATTGATACCTAGTTTTAAATCCTGGTGAGTCTTTCTACCCCTGGAAAATGATAATAAAGTACAAGTGTTTACCCGTTGAACAAATTTAATAAAATGTTAAAGATCTATATTTTATCTCAACTTTTCATCCAGCAATCAAAGAGCTCACACATAACTTTTATACATGACCAAGGACCAATGCTAGGGTTTATTTGTTCACCTGGAACAGTGCAGGCCTTAGCTTGGAGGGATTTTGTAAAATGATGTGTTCCGGGATTCTCCCCTCCCGTACCATTGTTGAAGGTCCTCTGTAGCCTGATGGCCCTGGGTCTTCCAGTATGTTGGGACATGTAGCCCCAGTTAGCTGGCACACTCGTCAGGAAGTCCCAGTGAATGGCCCTGGGAGGCTCGGATGGTCCACCCGAGGGAGTGACATAGAGCGGAGCGGAACCACAGCGCCCGCATCCTTCTCAGTGGGCAGTGGGCAGGGATCCCCGCCTTGGTGCTCAGAGTCAGGGCTCTCAAATGGCAAAGGGAACTGTGTGACACTAGAAAAATTACCTTCCCAGGAGGATACAGAAAGGTTTAGGGAGATGGTAGAACAGGTTTTGTACAACTTACTGGTACGTGAGTACCAGTACCTTGTCTCCTACCAAACAATAAAATGCCACCCAGAGCTAAAGCCCAGATATCCCTCCACTTCCACTGGTGGGCACATCCAGTCAGGCCTAACGCACGCACAGGACTAGAGCTCGGTCCCGCCTGGCCATTCCCTCTCATGCTTAATAGGAGCCCCGACTTGGGCCAGCTCCTCAGATCACCTGTTACTGGAGCAATGGGTCTCAGTGGCAATGTTGCCTGAAGACATGCACTGGCTGAAACATGGTTTAGTAGCACATTATTAAAATAAAGAAAAATGTAAAAAGAATGGATTAAATTTCTGAGACAGTTTATTTCTTCCTTGCCCTGAGGAGAAAAAACACGGCAGCGCTGGGTGAGAGCTTGCCCTTCCCTGTCGCGGGGAAGGCAGGCCTTCCAAGCTGAGGAGCCCTAGCCCAGCCGCTCCCACAGACTCTGGCGGGTGGCGGGAGGCGGCCTCATGTCGCAGTAGCTGAAGCTGCAGCCGTCCCGCACGTCTCCCTGAGAGATGCGCCAAGGCAGGGATCCTCGATCGTTCTGGTGCTGTCCCACATGCCTGTCCTCTCCAGGGTGGCTTGCAGAAGTTCTCGGATTCTTTGGTTTTCCTTGGAGGTAGACTCCCAGACAGCTTCAAGCTCGCCTTCCATTGCTCTGAGAGAAATAAACAAAACAATGGAAAAATTTTTGATAAACACAGAGCCTTATGAATCCTAAAGTAGCAAAAACTCAGATGGGACTATGCTTAACAACAGAGAAGAGAGCCCATCGGGCGCAGGGGTGTCCACCCTTCTGGTGTCTCTGGGCCACACTGGAAGAGGAGTTGTCTTGGGCCACACATTAAATACACAAACACTAACAAAAACTGATGAGCAAAAAAAAACAAACCCGTTTTTAAGTGAATTTACGATTTTGTGTTAAGCCGCATTCATAGCCATCCTGGGCTGCGTGCGCTCCGCGGTCCGCGGGCTGGGCACCCCTTTAATAAAGCAAAGACTCCCGGAGTTGAATGAAGCTTCAGGGTCCCCTGGAAATAGAAAGGCACAGGCCGAAAACTTCTCACCTTTCCTCTCTAAATGCTGCCTTTTCCTTCATTTTGGCATCAATGCACATATCCTTTGTTTCTCCATAGAATCAACATGCATAAAAATAAAATAAAGTACACTAAGTGAGGTGTTGACCTATATAGCACAATGGCCTGGCCAAGGGCACCATGTGGCAGGGGCCCTCTAGGCTGCTGCTCTGTCCCCTGTACCTGTCCTCACTGTGACCTGGACAGCACTCAGGCCCCTTTCACAGGTACCCCTCCATAGAGCCACCTATGGGCCCACACAAAGAATTAGTAAGGGGTAAGGAGGGACCCATGGGGGGTGGGGTTCACAACTGACACAGAGAAGACTGGCTAGACCATGTGCCAGGAGGGTGGGTGCCCAGAGGGAAACAAGGCTTATGAGAAAGGGAAAGAGCAGCAAAACAGGCTTTCCTGGGCAAGGACTGTGTGACAGGCACCATGTGGGGTCCTGAGGAAGCAGGGCAGACAAAGGTATCCATGTCCTCGCAGGGCCGTGGTCCACTGGGGCGACAGACCAGCATACCAGCCCCCACTTCATAGGACGATGAGCCCCGGGGGGGACCGTGGGGGGTGAGAACAGCAAGCTTCATCCTGGGTGGAGGATGGCCGGGCCGGGGAGGCCAGCTCCTCCATTAACACTGCCAGATGGTTATGGGAAACGACAGAAACCGGATTCCCAGGTGGACATAGCATGATTAAACAATTTAAAGACTTAGGGAGGCCAGTGACATGTCCACTGTTCAGTATTCAGTTTTCTTTTAAAAAATTTTTCTTTCTTTTTTATTAATTCTGGAGAGAGGGGAAGGGGCGTGGAGAAAGAGTGGGAGAGAAACATTGATGCAAGAGAGAAACATCAGTTGGTTGCCTCGTGCATACATCCTGACTGGGCACCAGACCTGCAGCCCAGGCATGTGTCCTGACTGGGAATTGAAATGGTGACCTTTCGGTTTGCAGAACAATGTCTGACCAACTGAACCATACCTGCCAAGGCCAGTATTCACTTTTCTTGTGAGCCGTTGCTTCCTTCCAAGACCCATGATGGCCACTGAATGCTGGGTACTATTTAAGTATACCATGTCCAAAAGAATCCCAGACTTCTGCTTTTTTAGCATAAAAACACCTAGATGTTTGACACGTTACATCGATTGTGACAGATGTATGGCTAAACTCAAAACAAAGAATAGGAAATCTCTAAGTGGAAGAAAATGAAGACTAAACTGAAACCACAGAGGTAGGTAAACAAAATTTTTGTCCTCAAAATGTTTGAGGACAAAAGCCCATGCCAGGAACCAGCTTTCTATAGAATGAAGATGAGGTCTTGGGCCCATGAAAACAGCATGTGACAAAAAACCCCAAACTCTTTCATATCCATGTTTCTCTTCTTTCTGGAAACACTCTGAACGGTGTATTCCAGAATTAGGGAGAAAAGTGAAGGCATATGGAGGACTGCCACAGAAAGGATGGTTTAGTGGAAAAAGCTGCCAATCTTCAAAAGAAACCTACTCTGTGAGGCTGAGTCTACTGTTCTCAGATGCATCTGGAGTTTGAATCTATATTGTCCACCAATATGAGGCCAGGGGTGCTGCTGAACATCTTCCAGTGCATAAGACAGCCCCACAGCAAAGAACTGCTTGGCAAAAAATGTCAGTAGTACCAAGAAACTTCACAATCACTCTTGACACATTTGATCAGTCACAGCACCTTCTCCGTAAGCTGCACAAATTTTTTTTTTCTGCGCTTCAGTTGCATATTTTCATTCATCTTCAATATTAAAATGGCTGCACAAAAATTCACCAATTTTGATAAGTTTTTAAAAATGCATGCTGAACAGCTGTCACAACACAGTCTAACAAAACTGTTTCAAATGAAGTTAAAGACAACTAAGGACTGCTACAGCCATCATACGGAAAAAACTAAATGAAGTTTTTTAGGCCAACCCAATAATATCTTCCAGAAACTTGAATGAAAAAAAATTATCAAAGAGAAGGAAAAGAAGAAAAAGGGGAAGGACAATTAGAGGACTAAAATGATTTAGGAAGTCCATTATTCAAACAACAGAAATTTTTCAAGGAGGGATTAAAAAAAATGAAGAGCTGGGATATAACTTATAGCATGGTGACTGTAGTTAACAGTACTGTATTGTACACAAGAAAGTGGAGAGTAAATCTTAAATGTTCTCAATATACCACCAACAACACGGTAATTATATGAGGTGAAGGCTGTGTTAACTTTATTGTGGTAATCATTTTGCAACATATACATGTATCAAATCATCACATTGTATACCTTAAACTTATACAATGTTACATGTCAATTGCTGGGGGAAACTTGAAAAAGAAAACAAAATAAGGAGCAAATAAAAATCAAGACCAACATTAAATTCAGAGAAAACTAAAATGCAGCCCTTCCTGGTGTGGCTCAGTGGACTGAGTGCCAAACTGTGAAACAAAGGGTTGCTGGTTCAATTCCCAGTCAGAGCACATGCCTGGGTTGCGGGCCAGGTCCCCAGTAGGGGTGCATGAGAGGCAACCACACATTGATGTTTCTCTCCCTCTCTCCCTCTCTTCCCCTCTTTCTAAAAATAAATAAATAAAATCTTTAAAAAAAACTAAAATGCAAAAACAAAAGTAAGCAATCAAATAAACAAAATAGATCTAGAGGGTTTAATTGGAAAATTCTATCAAACATTAAAAAAATAAACACATGATATGGGGCTGGGGCAGCCCTACCTTTTCTGCTGCAGAGCCTCATCCAGGACATCCTGCTTGTCCTGCAGCATCCGATGGAGGTGCCTCATCTCCTGATGGTACTGGGCTGCCTTTTTAGCAAAGTCCTCCTGCTGCTCTGTCAGACAGTGACTAATGTCATCCAGCTTTAGGGCAGCCAGTTTCTTGTATCCCTGGTGGAGGAAGAGGGACTCTGTGAGTGAGAGGAGGCTGCTTGCAGCCCAGGTCGACAGCCTCCTGGATGCTTTCCCTACCCGCCTCCTTGGGCTGTCGGGGACCAATGAGCTGAGTAAGCCCTGGATAAGTATGAGCTGGTAGGGCAAGTCTGGATCACAAATGCATATAAAGTAATAAATAAATTTCAAGTATAATAAAAGCAAATTTCTAATTTATATCATGCTATAAATTATTTTTATGGGCAATAAATAAAATTAAAAAGGAAGGACTTGGCAAGGTTTTTCATACTCTATTGGCAAAGAGATGACTGAGGTAAAACGCTAATTTATTTGTTTACTAACATTTTTATTGCATAGTATTTAAGGCTATGAATTTCCCTCTGAGCAGTTCTAAAACTGTTGTTACATAAATTATGACTTAACAGTTTACATGGACTCTATTCTCTTTGGAAATTATGACATTCTGGAGGCAAGTCCAAGATTGTGGAGTTGAAGGACCTTGAGCTCACCCTCTCTGGAGGACACATTAAATTTATACCTTTATATAGATCAATTCCTCCTGTAAGACACTAAGAACCAACTAAACAGCTTCTGCACAAAAAAAAACAAAAACAAAAACAAAAACAACAACAACAGGGAGAAAGACTGCATAGAAGGTTAGGGAACTCTGAGAGCTCTCTAGGAGCTGAGGGAATACACAGGAATGGAAGAACATTGTTTACATTTCCTTTGCACATGGCTAGTGGGCAGGAGCTCTATCCAGGTTCTCTGGGTCAGCCTGCAGGGCTGTAGTAGCACATCTCCAGCCACTCCTCCCAGAACGAGATCCAGCAGAAACAGGTCAGCACCACAGCCCACGTAAATGGGACCCCTTCACCTGGAGCAGAATCCAGTGGGGGTGGCAGGGTGTTGTAGCATGCACCTACTGGGCTGCACATGCATGAAGGACACCTCCTGCTCAGAGTGTGAAACCAGCGACATGCTAGAATGCCTGTACGCAAGGCTGTCCTATTCAGAGAAGGTGAAAATAGTAGGGAGCTCCTGCATGTGCATGTGGATCAAGTTCAGGCAAGACACAATTAAAGCAACAGGGCACACTGCACAGGTATTGGGCAGCACAACCCACGCTGGACAGCTGTGCCCATAGCAGAAGGGCAAGGGAGCACTCGTACACCAGGTTGCCCTGCAGGAATCCACTCCTTCTGGCCACCAGGCACTGCATGGGCCTGCCGTGACTACGACTGCCCTTCAGAAACATCTGTCACACAGATTGGGAGAAAAAGCCATTTCATCAAACTCATAGGAAAAAACACAGAAAGTCAAACAAAACGGGGAGATAAAAGAATCTGTCCCAAATGAAGGAACAATAAAAATAAAATTTAGAGAAAACTCTTATGAAATGGAGATAACTCATTTGCCTGATAAAGAATTCAAAGACATGATCATAAGGGTGCTCAACAAACTTGAGAGTAGAATAGAGAAATGCAGAGAGCACTTCAATAAAGGGTTAGAGAATGTAATAAAGAACCAATCGGAGATGAAGAATACATTAGAAGGAACTGAAATAAGATTAGTTAGTAAGAAAGAACAGATTAGCAACCTAGTAGACAGAATAGTGGAAATCACCCAATCAGAACAGCAAGATGAAAAAAGAATTTTAAAAAATGAGGATAGAATTGGTTATAAGAGACCTCTGAGACAACATTAAATGTTCTAACATCCACATTATAGGGATTCCAGAAGGAGAACAATGAGAGAAAGGGGCAGAAACTATATTTGTGCCTTCCGGTCAGCATGAAGGCATAGGTAACACACTTTGTCTCCTCACACAACCATAGAAAGAATTACAGCTAGGCCTCAAAACAAATAACACCCAGAACCATCAGAAAGTTGAGCTGTATGGAATGGCAACAACCAAGGACTTAAAGAAGCCACATTCATCCAGATGGGTAGGAGGGGTGGAGACCGACCGGTGGAGAGGTGTGGAGATGCGGCATGGTGCAGAGAGGCAGCAGCAGTGGAATGGGCAGTCCCACCTTCACGTGTGGTGGATAAAAATCGGGAGGGATACCTTGGGAGAGGGCAATCCCAGCCCCAGGCCAGACTGCACAGATGAAGGTTCCAGTGCCAGGAAGATAAATCCCCGTAACTTCTGGCTGTAAAAATCAGTGGGGGATGGGGTGGCCGAAGGAACTGCTGGATTTTCAGGATACTCTGCTTAGAGGGCCCACGTGGACTTAGAACTTACACATACCCATGCCCTCTGGGATCAGCACCCAGGAAACAGCTGAAAGGGCACCAGCCGCATATGGGGAGTAAATGAAGTGACTGGAAACGGGGAGCGCTAGGCAAACCTCCAGAAGCCAGGCAGTGATGCTGTTCCCTCTCCAATTCCCCCGCCGCTCCCCCACCCCCCGCCAAGGGAGCCACAAAGCGGTAAAGCGGGTTGCCCTGCTCTGGCGATTACCTAAGGCTCTGTCCCACAATTTACAGGTGCCCTTTCTACACTAGGCCATGCTACTAAGACAGGGAGTCAAAGCAGCTCTACCTAACACACAGAAACAAACACAGGGAGGCTGCCAAGTTGAGGAGACAAAGAAATATGGCCCAAATGAAAGAATAGAACAAAACTCCAGGAAAAGAACTAAATGAAATGGAGATAAGCAACCTATCACATGCAGAGTTCAAAACACTGGTGATCAGAATACTCAAAGAACTCATCGAGTATTTCAACAGCATTAAAAAGACCCAGGCAGCAATGAACGTCACACTAAGTGAAATAAAGAAAAATCTACTGGGAACCAACAGAGGAGGGGATGAAGCTGGGATTCAAATCAATGATTTAGAACATAAGGAAGACATAAGCATTCAACCAGAACAGCAAGAAGGAAAAAGAATTAAAAAAAAAATGAGGATAGCATAAGGAGCCTCGTGGACATCTCCAAATGTACCAACATTGGAATCATAGGAGTACCAGAAGGAGAAGAGGAAGAGCAAGAAATTGAAAACTTATTTGGAAAAAAAAAATGAAAGAAAACTTCCTTAATTTGGTGGAGGAAATAGACATACTAGTCCAGGAAGCACAGAGTCCCAAACAATTTGGGCCCAGAAAGGACCACACCAAGACACATCATTAAGACACATTAAAATGCCAAAGGTTGAAGACAAAGAAAGAATCTTAAAAGAGTTAAGAGAAAAGCAGTTATGGGAACTCCTACAAAGGAGTATCAGCTGATTTCTCAAAAGAAACCTTGCAGGCAAGAAGGGACTGGCAAGAAGTGTTCAAAGTGATGAAAAGCAAAGACCTACAAACCAAGATTACTCGACCCAGCAAAGCTGTCATTTACAATGGAAGGGCAGATAAAGTGCTTCTCAGACAAGGTAAAGTTAAAGGAGTTCATTGTCACCAAGTCATTATTGCATGAAATGTTAAAAGGACTTACCAAAAAAAAGAAGACCAAAACTATGAACATTAAAATGGCAACAAACTCACAATTATCAACAACTGAATCTACAAAAACAAACTAAACCAACAACCAAAACAGGAACAGAATCATAGGAATGGAGATCATTTGGAGGGTTATCACCTGGGAAGGGAGAAGGGAAGAATGGAGGAAAAGGTGAAGGGATTAAAAAGCGTATTTGGTAGGCACAAAATAGACAGGGGAATGTTAAGAACAGTATAGGAAATGGAGAAGCTGAAGAATTTATATGCACAACTCACAGTCATAAACTAAGGTGGGGATTGCTGGAAGGAATAAGGGTACAGAGTAGAGGGGGCGAGAGGGGAAAAAACTGGGACAACTGTAATAACATAATCAGTAAAGTGTATTTTTAAAAAGAAAGTATATTTAAATAAGTAATAGCTGAAAATGTTTCCAATCTTGTAAAGGAAACAGACTTTCAGGTCCAGGAAGCACAGGGTTCCAAAGAAGATGAACGCAGAGGCCCACAGCAAGACATACTGTGATTAAAATGGCAAAAGTTAAGGATAAGAGACAAGGCATCAAAAAGGAAACAAGTCACATACCAGGGAAACCCTATTAAGTTATCAGCGATTTCTCGGAAGCAACTTTACAGGCCAGAAGGAAGTGGCAGGAAAATATTTACAGTGCTAAAAGAAAGGAACCAAATGGCCTAGAATACTGTACCTGGCAAGGTTATCATTCAGAATTGAAGGAGAGTTTCCCAGGCATGCAAAAAAGTAAAGAAATTCACCACCCCTAAACCAACTTTACAAGAAATGTTAAAGGGTCATCTTTTACAGGAAAGAAAAATTCTTACGGTACAAGCAAATATATAATAAACACAGTGAACCAACCACTTAAAAAGATAATATGGAAGTTAAAAAACAAATTTAACTATAACTACAATAGATAGCAGATACAGAAAACAAGAAAATATGATGTCCAAAACATAAAGAATGGAAGGGGAGTAAAAATGTAGTGCTGTTATAATACATTTGAATTTAACACCCATCAGCTTAAAATAGACTGTTATATATGTGAAATTAAAAAAAAAAAAAAAAGAACAAACAAAACAAAAGGGACTCAGAAACAGAAACCAAAGAGATGTTCGCCAGGCATTTGGGTGTGTGTGTGGGGACAGGTGTTAAAAAAAGTGAAGGGAACATAGTCAGTAATATTGTTATAAGTTTCCGCAGTACTAAACTTAATGTGGTGATCATATTGTAAGATATATAAATGTTGAATCACTGTATTGTCCACCTGAACTAATACAATGCTGTATACTCAAAATTTTAAAATTTGAAGTCAAAGTAAAAAAAAAAATCATGAAATCCAGTGTAAACATCCCCTTTGACCCAAGAGTTTGTTTACTGTATAGCTTTTGCATTTCCAGGTGAAACGCAAAACTTTTCTTTTTCAAAATTTTGGCTTTCTAATTTTATTTACTAATTTCTGTTTTTCACATTTTTGATCAGTAAATGTCTGCCTTATTTCTATGTTATAGGTTTATTGAGAGTTTTTTTAACCCAA